TTACAGTTATATAACAAGTCATTAGTAAATATTAACAATTAAAAAAATTTACTTCACTTGGAAAGAAAATATTATACTAATAATATTTAATAATTTTTTATATTGTTCAATAATAATAATTAATAATAATTAGGTATTTAATGATAATTATTCAATAATAATTATATATTTAAATAGTTTTTATAGCTGTCCCTAAAAATCAACACTAATATATCAGTAGAAATATCATTAGTACGTGTAATGGCAATTTTGAAAATCTGTTTCGTTTTTTTTTTTAAGAATCAGTTTGCTAATGGAATCTTTGATAATTACTTAATAATAATTATGTATTTAAATAATTTTTATAACTGTCCCTAAAAAGGATCACTAATATATCAATAGAAATATCATTAGTACGTGTAATGGCTATATTGAAAAATCTGTTATTTTTTCGAAGAATCAGTTTGTTAATGGAATCTTTGATAACTATTTAATAATAATTATATATTTAAATAATTTTTACAACTGTCCCTAAAAAAGGAACACTAATATATCAATAGAAGTATTATCAGTTCGTGTTATGGCGATATTGAAAATCTGTTTTTTTTTTTTTTTTTTTGACACAGGATTTCGNTTTTTTTTTTTTTTTTTTTTTTTATAAGAATCGGTTTGTTAATGGAATCTTCGATAATTATTTAATAATAATTATATATTTAAATAATTTTTTTAACCGTCCCTAAAAAGGAACACTAATATATCAATAGAAATATTATTAGTACGTGTAATGGCGATATTGAAAATCTGTTATCTTTTAAGAATCGGGTTTGTTAATGGAATCTTTGATAATCACTTCAAATGAAATGAAAACTGTCCAGTTTATTCAGGATGGATGCAATCACAAACCAAAGCATCACTCCCCTCCCCCCTTCCAATAACTCCCATTACTCATTGCACTTTATCCAAATCAATAACCACTCTGAAAGATCTTAATTCTTCTCGAAATGTATCTCAGAAGGCCCTCTTAAAATGAAGTATCGATTTCATACATAAAAAGGCCTCCTTTTTAAGTGAATTACTGTTGAATGACGAAGACAGATGACACGAAGGCCTTGTTTTCTCGAGAAATCGCCTCTCTCTCTCTCTTCTGCTTCGATGGGCCCTTTTAGTCATGCTTTTAGGCCAACCCCTGTTGATTTTGAGGGTGACTGATCAATAGTTATGAATCACGCAACCCCCCTTGTATAATAAACCGATTCCTTTGTGGGAGAATCAGTTTTTAAAAAATTATTGAAAAATGTCGGGCTCTTTACATAATTTATTTCCACCCACATCCGCTGATTTATCATAACGCGAGTGCGCGTGTTAAACAAAGCGTTTATTGAAACATACTATTTATTTCCCCCTTTTTTTTCTTTTTCTTTTAATCTAAGCACTCCCCCTTTTCGAATCTCTTTCGCAATGACATTGTTATCCTGAGATTTATTTCTCTTTAATGAAATGGTAATTTTTATATTTTATTTCATTCCTTGCAAGTCGACATCAAATATGAGAAATGCACTTTCAGTTGACTTTCGTATTTTACGAAAAATTGGCGGTAAACAAATTTCTGTAAAGCATTTTATTCTAAGCGAAATCAATTATTCTGCGTTTAATAAATCGTTTTCTGGAAGATAAAAAAAAAACAATATATATATATTAACAAAATTAATATCACAGCATTAATAAAGTGTAAAGTTTGCCATGTTTTGAGTGTTCTAATTTATTTGGCTATATTTCTGTAAAACAGCGCCGTCTGCTATATTTTGGGTAGCATCATAGCAAGCTTGCGGAGTCTCCCGAATTCATTTGTGGTTTGTTTTGCTGAAAGTGTTAAATTGAAAGAACGCGTAATATGAAAAACACNATATAATAGTATCTCAGGAGGTATTCTTGTGACAGGTTAAGCTTGACAAAATGATGGAAGTTTTTCATAGTAATGCAATTTTTTTTTTCAAAATCACTTGTTAAAAAAATATTATTTGCATATTATTATATCCCAATACTTTATTACTGGGATTTAGAGAATTAAGAAATTTAATCCTAATCAGTTTGTTACAAAATATAAAAAGTCCCATCTGTAAGTTAATCCTACTATTATTAAAGCTCAAAGAAAATTACTGTATTATAGTTTTGGTTCTATAAACAAGAATGACCATTTATGTACTTTTATTTGTATGTTTTTTTTTTCTCCTTCTTTTAGTCTACATACTACCTATCCTCTTTCTAGATAATTATATAGTTGTTGAAATCGTTTAATACCTATAATTATTTAAATAGTGCTTTTTTTTTCTCTCTGATTCGGACACAGATCATTGATTTTATATTGAAATAAACACAAAAATAAAGTTATAGTATTCTAAGAAAGAAAAAAAATAGTATTTTAAGAAAAAAAAAATTATGAAATTCTTAGGTATGGAAAGAAAATTTTGCATGATTTTATTACTTTTCTAACTTTTTCGAAATATATATAAATACATATATAGTCATCGAAGTTCTCTATATTGAATGCACATTCAATGTTCTCTATATTGAATGTTCGTAAATGGGTTAAAGGCCGAGAAGTGTTCCGTTCTGCCAAATCCTCTGGAGTGGTAAAATTGAGGGTTCGAATCCCACAGTAATCCAAGATTTATCTTCGAATTTAAGCTATCTGTACTTTTTTTAAGTTTTTTTTTTTACCCCAAAGCCCGCGTATGCATTAAATAATTAAAAAAAAATTTATACAAAAAAAAAAGGTGGTCCTGTCAGAATGTGTAAACATTAACAGCGTCACTAAGATATTAGATCTGTAAAGTATTTAATTGCAAAGTTATTAATCGATTCTAAGTTAAACTTTATAAAAAAAGTAACTTTTCTCTGTAGTTTGATTGGATCCTTGATTTTTAAAAAGGATCGATAGATTTTTTTGTCTTGATATACTCTAGGGGAAAAAATGATTAATGAAATAGTTAGATAATTAATTAATTTATTTAAATCATAATTCTAATAGCTTCCGGCATCCCACAGGATTCATTATTTTTCTTGAATACAAGTTCCCTCTCACGCTATTTTCTCGGAAAGGTCCTTCAAACTTTTTGCAATTTTAGAGAATGTCATAAATTTTAAAAAATAAAATTTAAAAAAAAACGCAATTAGACAATTTTAATAATTTATTTATTTCACCAAACTGTTTGTACCATGGAGTAAAAAGAGTTTTGGAGGATTTTTCATACGGAGGATAAAGTATAAATTTCTGTGATAACTTTCAGGTATTTTGCATTACTTTGTACTAGTGTTTGTCAAAAATTTTGTTTTTATTCCAATGAGAACGCAATATATAGTTTTCACCCGTACTTTTTCATGTTTGATCAGGTTTTAAATGATCTCTCTCAAACTCTATATGGTGTCCCGCAGTGGTCTGATAGTTAAGACACGGCAGATCACCGAAGTATAACATCACCGGCTGCGGTTAGAGTGCGGGTGGGTGACCACTTTGATCAGCTAGTGATGGGACCGAGGGTGTGAGGTATTGTTTCTCGTTAAACTGTTCTACCGTAAAGTGCTCGAGTTCGCACGCAGGTCGTCGGGTATACGACGCGAGGATGCCATCCCCTCTACAGAGGATCAAAATTGGGATGGCATGTCTTCGGATCATCCTCAGGGATGCTTCCCAGACCGTCGCCAATAGCCCGTTGCGTAGCTCTAGTGCGACAGAAATAAGTTGCAACTCTATATGCTACCGTCAAAATATGGAATGCTTAGAGATCGCATATAATGTCAGACGTTGCATTATATACTTAGGGATTCTGCAGAATGCTGCTTAAAGTATGAAAAAAAAGGTCCGTATAAGGCTAAGGTACAAATGACGCGTATTCCTCAAAAATATTGTTATTCTGAAAGAAAGAAAAAATGATTTATTCAAATTTCGTGAAGTTGAACACAGCAAAATTTGTGCTTTTCTTATCAAGGGAAACAAAATTTTTGCATAAAAAAATAATAAATTATAGTGAACCTACTTGTTGCACACTGAATGACGTTTTGAATTATGTATTTCATACTTTCTCGTTAAGCATTCTATAGCGAGGAAATGTATGAACTGCCGGCTAGTTTTAGGAATGCCGGATTTCGAACTTTGCCAATAATTCATACATGCGACCGAAATATCGTGAAACAAGGAATCAGATTTAATATTTTAATTCAATATTTGTTTTCAGGAATTTAAAATATATTTTATTTTAATATGTAGACATACTCACTTAGACACATTACTTTATTATAAATTAAAATGTGTTTGTATTGAAGCATCACGTTTTCAGTTGAATAAAAAAAAATAAAAAATAGGGATATTTTTTTAGAGCATTTTTCGCATAAATGGCAGCAGTCGAAGGAATGCATGCATTTTTTTTATTTTTTGCATGTACTTGAAAGGCTTAGTTTATAGAAATGCAAAGCCAGAAGTTACTTTATATCAGATAATTTTTTATGCACTCGAATTAAGATACATTGTTTGATATTTAGAGATGACTAATTTGTCAAAGAGATTTATCGGATACTATTCATTTTCGGAGATGAAATTCTTCACATTTAATAAGAAAATCGAAATGTATTTTTCGTAAATTTGTGATCATTTAATCTTTGATTACGGGGCATACTGCCGAAGATGCGGTATGATTTTATTTTTTAGATCATTTTTCTCAGCTACACGCGTAATAAGACCAAAAATAATTAAAACAGCTAGCGAGAAATATTATGCGGGATGTTTTGTTGCGACAATGAGCCATTAATTTAGAAAAACCACCTGCATCTTATTTTGAGGTGACATGAATCGAAAGAAATTAAATTTTTTTTTTCTTAAAGTTCTTTCTGGAACCGAACAAATTATTCAAAATGCTTTCTTTTTAAATAAGCAAGTGTCATGTTAAATTATAGTTTTATTTGCGTTTTTATTCTTGAAAAATCCCCAACTAACTACAGAAAGTAAACTGAACTTCAAAGTTACTTACTGTGTTGAAGATCAAACACAGGTGATTTGTTGCTCGTGGTAGATGAAGGTGATGCAGCTCCTGTATATCCGGCATTTGTTCCCCTGCATTCCTGGGGAATGTCCGGCAAGGGCAATCTATGTCCATTTATGAGATGATCCGGGAGCAATTGCCCTGGAAAACTCAGAGCTCCGGTTGAATAAAGTCCCGAGCGTGGCACGAACACATAACCATTATAGAAAAAGGGTAATTGAAATGCTGGATTTCTGTATCCAGGTCCGGCAGGAGAGCCGGATATTAATGAGTCTATAGAAAATGAAGCGCGCTGCATTGTATATTCCTAGTGGAGAATAACATGCACATAGTATTTCCGCACGCTTTGTTGTGGATGGTCCCAGTCATCGGCGGTTTGGAAAGTTTACTTTAGGCAGGGTTGCATCCTCTTTTACTTTGGCGATAGATTCTTTCGCCAATGGGCGTGACCTTACTCACAGTTTCGAGTGTCAGCACGTGATTACGTAGATGGATGCCCCCAAGAGAGAGCCGCTGTATACTTTAATCTAATGACAAGTCAGATGTACATTAAAATTAAAGGAATCTCTAGAGTGACGGGGATGTAACGAATCAAGCTATATTAAGGAAACAGTTCTTTTTTTTTATTTTATAAAAACACATTTATTTGGCAACCACAAATAAATAAAGCAAAATTAAATTAAAATACCAGTAACGGGTAAGTAATATCCTTGCAAAATAAATGGAAAAACCGATAACAGGTTAGTATGAACCTTAAATTCAAAACAAAAACTATTCTCATCAAAGTCCGCAACTCTCTGACGTTCCATAAGATGTCTCGTTCTTTTATTCAATTCTTACTATTAGTTCACACTCATTTATATATCTTGTTCAAATTTTATATCGTTAATAAAATACTTTTAATCGTTCGTAAAATACTTTTAATACTTAAAATACACAAGTTCAAATACATTTTTTTTAAACTTGTAAAGGGAGACACTAGGTGCTAATACAGTTTTTTTTTTTTTCAAATATCAATTTATAAATTAAATTTAATTAATTAATTTTAGTTTTATATGGGGGAAAATTTTTTCTCTTATATTTTGCCTCTTAATTACTTAATTAATATTTCGTCATATGTATATAAATATTTGCATTAATTCTAATTATTTAATAAAAAGTAACTAAAATAAAATGTTTCTTTGTTGAACTAAGTAGGAATTGACTTTAA